GGGAGCACAGCACTGTCTCTGCTTTTTCAGAGAAGCACCACGGCCTCTGCCACCCCAGTGAGGGGTGCACAAGAGGCTGGGAGAGGACACAGCTGGACAGCTGACCTGAAATACCAAAGAGATTCCATACCATATAATGTCATGCTCAGCAATGAAACTGAGGGCCAGGTTTCTTCCCAAGTATTTGTTACTCAGAGGCTGGCTGGGCATCAGTCTCCTGGTGGTGCATTTACATCACAATGTTCACTCACTTTTTCTTTCATTATTAAACTGTCTTTTTCTCAAACCTGAAGTTTAGGAGGTTTTTTCTTACTTTTTTTGCCCTTCTGATCCTCCCCCATCTCACCATTTAAACATTCTGGTACAACTCAGTGACATAGCTCCAAAATACATCCTATGACAGAAATAACTTTTTGCATGGTAACCAAGAGAATGCCACTAAATTCTAAGTAAGCAGAACTTATTCTCACTGAGTTATTTCCAATTAGAACAGCAGAAATAATTTTTCTGAGAAACAACTACTAATGTTAGCTGAAGGTAAAATGCACCAAGTTCACTGTGCAGAACACTCCCACTAGCCAGAAAGAAGTCCTGCTGGTATTTTTTATGTGAGGAAAACTGAGCATACTGTGAGAGCTTGTTCCTATGGAGAAACTGTCACAAAAGAAGGCAAAGTATGAGGTTAAAGCAGCAGCTATTTCTCTCTGCAGAACATGAATGTATGAAACTAGCAAGTGCCTTTAGTTTAGTTCAAGTCAGTTTCAAATTCAGAGTATACAAGTTCACATAGAGTATGTCACTGTTACTTGAAGCAATTTCTCCATCTTATTTTAGTGGAAAATTATTACCATAATTTTTTCCTATTCATTAAATCCTGGAAATAGGCTACCAGAATCTGAAATAACCTTTTTTCTTTTAATCCTAAACCCCCCCCCAGAAATAAACAGCCAAACTCTGAGCATGAATCTTCATACTCCCATCAGTTATGCAGACACTTTATTCTAGCAAGCCATGGCAATACCACTTAGAAGGACTAGAGAGTAATACAGGCTTAAGTGCAGTGCACATTTCTGATTGTCAGGGTAGATAATATCCAAGTAACACAATAACTCTGACTCACAGAGGGCTGGACACCACTTTATAATGTGAGACTTGGCAAGCAGAAAGGAAGGAAACAAGGAAAAATGCCTCAAACATGATTATTTTCTACCCTCCAAATAATCAAGCTACTTCACCAAACATATGCCAATACTTGCCAGGATCCAAGGGCATAGAGATTAACTTCAATTCAATTAAAACCAGGAACTTCTCTGAAAATCCATCATCTTCCAAAATCACAGAACACAGTAGACAGTGAGCATTGCCAGCAATCAAGATCTAGGATCCTTGTGTTATTGCACTTTTGTGATACCAAACTGATAGCACAATCTACATGCTTCACCTACACATTGTCAAGCCCGTTATCTTTAGCAGCAAGCAGAAGAAAACCCCCCTCAAGATACTTCATAATTAAATTTTGTTTCCTGAAATTCACTTCTGCCTTTCACTATATTGAATAGTTATATCTATTAACTTTTCTTTTTCTCCTGAATAAAAAAAAAAGAAAGCACTAGAATACCATGCTTGGGACCTGCTGGAAGAAAGAGTGCTTGAAAGAGCAAAACCAAGTAACTGATTCTGGTTTTCCATGTTCCTTGGCATATAAAGAAAAACTACAATTCAATTGAAATAATCAGGATTTTTTTAAATCCTTAAAAAGATAATATATTCCCTTAAAAATGATGGACAATATAGACCTCAGGGTCTCATAACATCAAAACAAGTTCCTATTCTATCAGCTAAGCATTCCAGAGAAGTTGTTGGAAGGTTATTAGAAAAGGGGGTTTATTAAACTGGAAGAACTCCTAAAAAAGTAGTAACTCTGATTCTCTGCATTCAATCTCTTTCTTCCAGGAAAGCAACATTCTATGAATTTTCACACTATTAGCTTGCAACCAGAAATATTAAATTAAATTAAATGAATTGCATATAACAATAAGGGAGAAAGATCTGGGGACTTTCCACAGCACAACAAGCTTATCTGATGAAGGAAAATGTTCTGCAAGAATCATGGGCCCTGTATCTCACCACATTAATATTTAGTTCTTATCCCTTCTGTTCTAAAAGGCAAAACTCAGAATGTGCACAAGAGAAAAAGCTCTGCTGAGGTTTAGAGACCATTTAATTTCTGCCAAGTCCCTGATTCTCTTATTAGGTAACCGAAATAAAAATAGTCTCAAAAACACTTAAAATATAAACTTTGTATTTCTTCTGTAAGTGCTACTGAAAGAATGGTTATACACAGGTATCCCAACAGTCATTAAAAATCAAGTGCAAAAGCTCATGTGAATCCAGAAAAGGACACAAACTGACAGGAAACAAATAAAAAACCCCAAACACAATAACTGTAGTTTGAACAGATATAACTGTAGTTTAAACAGATATAAAATGCCTTTTAATCTTTAAATTTAGAGCACTCTCAAAAGTGTCAGATCTACCCAAACCTCAACATCCCCACATTTAAGGTTTGTACATTTCTGTCCTCAGCTCCCACAGTGCACAATCAACATCATGCAATTTCAACTCCATTGCCTATTTCAATTCCTAATTTTCCTACCTTTGCACAACATAATATACAATCAACTGGATACAGTTTAACATTAAAGGTTTCTTTCTCCCATTTTTGTCAAAACCCATCTCTCCTCCAAATCACACAGGTTTAAGCCAAACACAAGAGATACTTGTCTTTTTTTTAAACCCTGCATTTTCAAAGAGAATGAATGTTCCTGAAATAAGTATGAGTAAGAAGATGAATTTGAAAGAACATTTAAGAAGTTATAAAAAAAATCCCATTAGAAATATATTTTAAATGCACCTGCAGTCCATTCCCTGCATGAGTGAATTTATTAGCAACTATATATATCTGTACAAACAAACTCAGGTGCAACCTTCAGAATTAAAGGGGATGTTAATGCTAATTCTCAAATTAAGTTTCTTATTTTTAGTGGGCGTAACAGAAAGGAAATAGCAAGGCCACAATTCATTATCTGAGCATTGTTAAAAACTGTAATAATCTGCCAACTTGTGAAAAAACTTCCCCTCTGAAAAAGCCCCAGGAGCTTCTTCCCCAGCACCACATCGACAGCAGATGGCCAGCATCAAGTCTGTAATTACCAGCCTGGCCTGACAGTCCCACAGATGACAATGATACTCTTTTCTTTTTGTGGATGTGTGCAGGGGGCAGCTTGAGAGATGCAGACTGCTAGGTATCATAGGCATCAACCCCTTCCACTAAAAATATACATATACAATCAATTTCCAGGCCTGTCATATGATTCCTCCATTAATCTTCATTTCACCATTACATTTCCCTCCTTTTTACTCTAACACATTCCTTTCTGCTACTTAAAAGTTTTTCAAACAAGGTGGTGGGAAGTGTGAAACATAAAGGATGCAGTAGAACTGACCATTGTAAAGCATTGCCAAAGACAAACCTCATGAACTATCTGTTGTTGCAACCTTGCAACCTTTCCCCCCTTTATTTCATTCTCCCCCCACCCAGCCCTGAACAGATTATTCTTTTGCCTACAGAGGAGAACAGAACATCTGATGAGGAGCTGCTGTTTCATTTCCTCTCCTTCATCCCACCCCTCAAATGGGGAAGCCCTCAAGAGGGGGGAGGGGAGGGTATGGTTTTAATTCAAATGCTGCATCTTAAAATACTATTGTACAGCATTTGGCTGGGAGTGATTAAAGCTATATATAAATACACAGCATGAGAGTACTTCATCCCCCCTACATCTCTGGGGGAAAAAACACCAAAAAACTTTTGCATTAATAACCATTTATTATTTCAGTTTTACACCCAAGAACTTGAATATTCGAGCAAAAGATTTATTTTGCCAAAGCCAACAACTGTTTACAAATGAAAGGAAGCAGAAATCAAGTTATGAGCTGACAGATGCAACAGAAAGAGGGTGGAAAGGATTTTCTCATGTGCAAAAGGGGCCTGACAGACTTAACTGAGGCATTTGGACCTCTCCTCAGGAATGCTCAGCCCTCCACAGAGCCTTCTGTCTTACACCGATTCAGCATTCCTTACTTCATTTCTAGTAATTCTTCCTGTTCTTCCTCATTCCAGCTACCCCTTTTGCAAAACTTATCAGGCATAGAAAGCTGCTGGAGAAAAGTATATCACAATCCTGCTGTCATTCATTATCTGTCTCAAAAATCTTACTGGGAAATAAGTCAATGCACGAAGAAAACCTCAAGTCTCACTACATCTCTCTCATGCCAGCTGATTCCAGTTGACAGGTTGTATAGGGAGGGTGACAATGTTATGGAAACACTACCACTGTAGAGGCTGTACCCCTCCCTGATAAAATCACCTTTGACTAATCATGATTTAATCCAAATTACGTTTTGACAATCTTTAGATACTGTTAATTCTTCTCAGAGATCGTTAACTATGTGTCAAATGCCATGCAATAAAATGTGAATTCCTTCCCACCAGTGGAGAAGAGCCAACACACTTTCCTCATGGCAAGATGAGCAAACTTTCCTTGCTGACACACACTATGTGACACACACAATGAATACCAGAAAGCATTGTCCTTTTATCAACTCCCTCGAAAGTTTCTGCTTTTTTCCCAATTGTTTATCAAGTGCTGTAGTACAGGACATTACTCCTCTGTATAAATCTGGCACTTCTTGCAACTGCAATTATCAAAACATGTAACACAAGCACCCCCTTTGTGGCAGAGATGCAAGTTAACACACGCAACTCATGCAGAACTAAATTAATCAACCCTTACCAAAACAATTACTTGGCTCCAGCAAGTTAAAAACTGTGTGTGCTCAACAGCTTTGCAAAAGTACAGTTAGCTTGTGAAAAACATCTTTAAAACGTTTTGGATTGTTTCTCTCTTGGAAACATACAGAACTTAGCAGTGTTAACTCACCTTCCACACTGTCAGAACAGGAGGTACCAATCCCAGTGTCCCCGCTGTCAGAAGCTATGCTGTGTCTTCTCACAGGATTGTTTTGACTGCTTGATGAAATTGTTGAGGACTGCCACAGGGATTCAGTACCAGGTAACCATCCCGCTGAGGAATAATCCGAGCCTATGAAAGAGAAAGCCAGAAGTCTGTCATTGGAGATACAATACAAAAATCAGGAACAAAATACCTGCCAAGATGAAAACTGAATCCTATGTTTCATAGATAAAACTTGAGCCAGAGTGTGTATGCGTCTTAGAGGTTTGGTTTTTTTTGTTAAGTAAAATCCTTTTGCTAGATGAAAGCTTCCCCAAAATTCTAACATATATATTTTTACTATTTTAAACTTTTCTTGTACTCTTTAACAAGACATTTATCATACGAATCTATCCTAGAACTGATCCTCAAATCCAGCAGAATTTTGCATTGCAAGCTTTCAAATACAAAGCAATTAATTAATTTTAGGACAGAAACCAGTTGAAGATTTGGCCACTGAGATACAGTCCTTTTCTGCTGTGCATAAACCACATGACCTAGGTGATAAAGCCAGCAATAAAATCATCAACACTGATACCTAAAGTAATTCCTTATGTAGCTGCACATAAACAGCCTTTGTGAGACACGTATCCATCTAGTGGTTTGTTTCATTTTGGTTACTTTTTTTCATTTAAATAATTGTTAAAATATTACATTTTAAAGTACAATTCAGAGCAGCAACTAGTTCTGCTGTTCAAGGAGTTTTTAAAGTAGGCCACATATTCTCACAGCCAACCTCAAGGGAAAATTTATCCCAGAGTACAATCCCAGAAGACCATTACAATTTCCAATAGCCAGTACCTAAATCTGAGCATTGTTTAAAGGCAGAATACTGATCACCACATTCATACTCTGAACCAGCACAGGCACATAATGAACCATGGAAAAAAGCATGGCTGCTCTTCATTTATATATAATCACATACATACACCCCCTCTAGCACTTAGCTTTGTATAGCACTTTCAGCAGGAAATGATTCATGAAGGAGTATCAGCTCACGTATAATGTCTCTTGGGCTACATGACGTTATTTTTAGATCGTTTAAACACTTTCAGCAATGTCCATCTGAAGTCGTAACAGCAATTTGCCTCTGCAAGGACATTTGCTACTTCCAGCTGTACTTGTTTTCCAGTAAATTAAATAGTTCAGAAAACAATGCAAAGATTAAATATGTGGGTATATATACAACCCAAATCCCCATACATGAATACATACATGGTTCCCATACAGCAGCCAAATCAATAGACCTAGTGGCTGGAGTGGTGACAGCTGCCTGCCAAGCCAGTTGAAAACTGAGGAACACGATAAATACTTATACACCAAATTCCTTGGGGCATGTGCTATTGACCTGTTACATGACATCTAAAACAGTCTTTTTTGTAGGTAGGTTCTTGAAGGCCTTAAATATGCCTGTCCATCTCGTTTGCCTCAACTTCATTCTCTGTTGAGATTATGCCTCTTCTTCCCTTTAGCACATTTGCCTACCTTTTCTCCCCGTAATTCAAAATCACCCAGTTCTCCTTCCCCTTCATTCTACTTCTGCCATATACCTTGTTGACGTATTTCCTTCTCTTCCTTAAGCTTAGTTTTGCCTCTACAGAAGTCTCTTCAACTATTCCAGTGAGTATCTTTCAGGTCCAAGGGTGAGGGGGAAGACCAGAGGAGCCAGACATGAATACAAGTGCCCATGGCTCACCAGTCACACCCTGTAAAGGGGTCCCAGCCAAGATTCCAATGGAATACCACTCCAGGTGTCATCCTTCATATCACCCTCTCTTGTGTCATCATCTAATGTACTCAAGTGTGCAGTTTTGCATACAGCTAGTGGGAAACTGGGACATTTCTTCTTCTCTTACCATCCAGCATATTTTTCACTAACACTCTGGCTGCTTTGGGAACAGTAATTTTACCCCACCTCCCTCTGAACAGGGCTACTTTCCAGAAGAATTCCACTTCATCCCTCTCAAGCTGCATCTAGCTATTCAAGCAAGAGTCAAACTGACTTATGGAACGCCAAGCTAATTAAATCAGAGACAATTCTGATTTAGGAGACATTTAAAATACATTTATAGAACAGAAATATAGATAGTTTCACCCTTCATTATGCTGTTTTTCACCATACAACTCTTTGGTGACATTTCAGCTTTTATGGTGTTACACAAGTGTTAAAGGAAATGCACCAGATAATTTAATATGGAGTAGTGGTAGCATTAAGACAGTATTAAGTGCCAAACCCTTCAGATCTCTTGGTTAGACAAATGCCCAGCACGTGAAACTACAACCATCCATACACAAACGCCCAAAAGGGAGAGCTGCATTTCACTCTGGTACAACTTTGAGGAGTAAAAGCTAAAAATACCACAGAATGAGAGTAACTTAAAAAAGGACTTTCAGAAGACACGTACTCTAACCTTCAGCTGAAAGCAAGATAATTAGATCAGACTACTCAGGGCCTCATCCAGCTGAGTCTTGAACACCTCCAAGGACACAGATTTCCCAACCTCTCTGGTTCTTCCAGATTTTACCACCCTTCATTCCAAGAAAGTTTTCCAAACAGCTCAAGAGGCTCTCATGTTCCGAACAAATTGTTGCAATATACCCCAAAAGATGCAACAACCCAGTGCAACTAGACTGGGTTAACAAACAAGGTTTACATACTAGAGGGGGCAGACACTGATTCCCATCAGGATCTCTGCAGGTACTGTGAGTAGAGAAAGTAACAGGCACCACAAATCACCCTGCTGTAATCTATTCTCAGTTTTACACCTACACACAGACAGCCTGGGGACACATCAAGCCCCAGGTGCATCCTTCAAAAAATGCTTTTTCTTTGCCCCTTGACATTAAGCATACTCCTTTTTTTTTTCCTAAAAAGGATAGCTAATAATGCAGGAGTCTGCAGTTTTTGATGTTTCATGGCACACCCACACAATTGTGTTACCTTGCAGACCTAATGGAGATTCCATTTCAGAGAAGGCCATTACAAATAGCAAGTGTCTGCATGAGAAAGTGAGTTCAATCATCTTTGAAAAGCTGTATCATAAACAGCCAAATACAAGCACCACCATAGTAGAAACAAACCCAAATATTAAGCCTGAACAGTAAGTAACTCATAAAATAGGACCCTATAGATCTCATTAGTCCGAGACATTATTTCCTTTTTTGAAACTGACCTTCTGAGCCAAGTCCTGAGGAATCCCCAGTTGCTATGCACCCCATTCTCTGCTCCCCATCTCCTTTCTGAACAGCTCTCTGCAAATGTACAATCTTTCATACAGCAAACAGCCCACACTAAAAGAACCAAGTGTAAAAGCAGAAGATACACAGGAGTCCCCACGCTGCTCAGCCAGCACACCTGCCTCACCCTGCTGCTCTGATCTCCAACCTGCCAATCAACAGCCATCTGCCCAAAATACAGAGTGGAGTAAGAAAAGCAAGCAAAAATTTCTAATCAATATTTGTGCTGCTGAATTGCATATTAGCATCTGTCTGTGAGCATTCTTTACTGGGTTAGAAAAATCTACCTTTCATAGGATTCACTAGGAGAGAAAAAAAAGTAGTGTCATCCTACCAGGCTGCAATTTCCATCAACAAACATGAAAACATACACATAAGATCACAAAAAAATTTCAAAAGAAGCCTTGTTTATACAAAAAGTTGAATGTCTCCTTAAATTTGGTCAGTGAAACATACCAACATAGTCCTTTGTTTCCAGCCTAGGCATTTAAAACAGATCCCTTTACAACTAAGTATATAAAGGGCAGGAAGTAGATTATTTATTAAAAGGGAACAGTTGTTGAAATTTCACTCCACAAAAACATGTATCTTTCTGTGTTACAGAACACTGTCATCTATTGCTGTGAGAAAGACTCACAGTTAATTCTGGATCATTACCATGCCTAATTTCAGTGGCATGCACAGATCCCCTGTGAAGTACATACACAAAATAACAACATTACCGTCTTTACATTTGGTTCCTAAAATACCTCTAACATGCCTGAATGTAAAGATTGTTATTTTAAGTGACAGCTGTGATACTGTTACTTTACCTAGACAGTGAATGGAAAGCAACAGCAAAAGACTTAACTGGGTATCACAGCAGATACATCCTGAACTAAGAATACTGATTTTTCTATTCCACACTATGACTGACATGGATTGTGACCAGAAGTGAAACACCCATGACAGCCAGTGCAAATTTATACAGTCAAAGGATTCTGAAGAGATCTTCTTCAGAATCCTTTGACTGTATAATTGATACAGTACTATCAAAACTAACTACACGAAATTCATTCTGGTCATCATGGATGTGACCAGGCTGTACAATCATATTTCACGCCAGGATGGCACTGAAGTCTGCCTGAAGCCCTTGCAAGGAAAGAGAGTCAGCATTCAGCCCAAAGACACTGCCACAGTTAATTAGTTTACCCTCACCATCTGTACCTTTACCCTAAACACTGCTAATTATGCACAAAGATCACATGGCATTTTGAAAGAAATCACCCCACCTTCAACCCAGCTCTCCCACATCCACTCATATAATCCCCTGACATTGCTGAACTTATTCTGGTTGCATCTTCTACACATTCCCGTCTCAATAAGTTCTTTAAGGAGTAATAGCCTCACTTTCACTTTCTCTCCTGTACCATAGGGCTGCATAATCACACATCTAGGAAAAGTCTACAAATAAACCCACAAATGGTTTCTCAATGATATGGTTGCTGTATTGTAAGAAAAAACTTACTTTGGTTGGAAAATGTTTGTTTACTCATCATACCTGCAAGATCATTACTGCCACAAGGTTAAAGAAAATCTCACACTGGGATGTGCTTCATGCACAACAAGCCCTCATGGATAATATTCTTTTTTTGACATAATATTCTTTTCATGACAACACCATGAGAAAAGGCGATGGAGGCAGGGGAACCCAAAATGCTAAAAAGCCTTTCCAAAAGTAGACACAAGAGCAGATGTTACACCTCACACATTTATACAGGACTTTTAAAAAAGCTGAGAGCTAGCAATAGAATGGTGCAACAGCAGCCTCCTTCAGTCTAAGGTGAATCAAATAATAAGGTGCAGTCATTCAA